TTCTCATTGGAGGGACTTGGTTGATTTCCACAGCTTCACATGGATTTGTCAGCCAGTCCTCACAACGATCCACGGTGGGAGGTGTGATTGCCCCCATCTTACAGATATTTTAGGGGAACAGAGGCTCTGAAAGGTTTGGCCATTTGACTAAAGGTCATATAAACCCATGACACCAGCCAGTTAGTGGTTGTTAATGATGAGGCAGAATAAAGTCCTAAAAGTGTGGGCTCTGGAGCCCGCAGGCCAGACTTCAAGTCCTGCACCTGCTGCCCCTTAGCTCAGTGACCTGGGCCAGTTACTTAAACTCCCTGTGCCTCAGTTTCTCCAACTGTGTAAGAGGGATCATCTTGCCGTGGCAGGGAGGACACAAAAGAGAAATGTGTGTGAAGCACTCTGCACATGTTCAGTAAAGGGGTGCCGGGCTTGTAATTAACTGCCTTGGGTGTCAGAGGGCCCAGAAGGCTTTGGGGAGCCCGCACAGGGTTGCCTGAAGGCCCCCAAGTCCCCACCACTGGATTTACAGGAGAACAGACACCAGCTGTCAATGACCGTGATCCCGCTCTGGCTTCCAAGCCTGGTTTGGGCTGCTTACTGGCTGTGGGACCTCTCTGAGCCTCTGTTTCCTCATCGGTACACAGGGGACCTATGTGTCCTGGGCCTTTCTTGTGTTTTCAGTCTGTCCTGAGCTGTGAATCCTCCCCTTTGGGAGTTCTGCCAGAGACTGGCTTTCTTAGCTTCTTTTTCCATGGGACAGTGTCATGTGACCCAGGTCCCCGGGCAGGGACATGCCCACCAGCAGATAAACTTCACGAGGGCAGAGATCTCTGTCTGTACCTTTCGTACCCTCAGTGCCTGGCACACAGGAAGTGCTCAATAGATGTTTGTTGAATGAATGCAGCTTCCCAGTGCCCAGGCAGGGGTTCTGGACCCAGGGCTGACCCTTGGGGCAATGCTGGCCCAGGCAGGAGAATTCTGCAAGTAGTTTACATCTTGTTTCCGGTTCCCAGCCTCCTTGGGGTCCTGCGAGCCTGCAATACCCTTCATTAAGCCCTTTTCTGTACATGCCTGCTAGGGTTGGCTCCTGTTGCAGCCACTAAAGACATACCGAATCCCCTCATGATCGAGACAGGTGACGTGTGGGAATTACCCGGGACACAGGAAGAGCTCCCAGCCAAGTCCACCCCCCCCCTTGCCTCCCCACTGCCAGGGGCTGGATTTGGGGCCAAAGCTGTCCTCAAATAGAAATGCCCTGGCTGCTGAGGTGACCCAACCTGACATGAGGACGTGCCCAACCCTATGGCTCATCCCCTCCGCCTTTTCCTTTGCTCTTCCTTTTGCTGAATCATTTTGCTTCCCTGCTCCCTGTGTTCAGCCCTCGGGAAGCCAGGGCATTTCCCATGAGGGAGTGGATTCCACTGGGGCTGGGAAAAAGCCAGGTGGCAGAGGGCCAGGGACATGGACTCGGACCCAGCGGGGGCCTCGGCTCCTGCCTTCCCCGGCTGCGTGGTGGTGGGCCCTCTGGGTCTCTGTTTGTTTGCCCCTCTATAAAATGGGGATCATCCCAGGGCCTGACGGGGGTCTTGTGGGAATGCAATGAAGTGAGGTCAGCAAAGGACTTCGCTTGGAGGTGCCTGGCATACAGTAAGTGCTCACAGCTGGGAGAAGGAGTTACAAGTATTTACGGAGTAACTAATGTGTGCTAAGCACTGCTCTGCACTGGGGGTTCAGTGGTGAACAAACCATAATAGATATATATGTTATGATTATTATGAAGGAGAGCAGGTGTTGAGTCCTTGCTCATCTTCCCCGCCCTGATCCCCGGCATCTGGCTCCCCATCTTGTTTGACCTACTTGATCCCACCCCCTTGGACAAAGGGTGGACCCTTCACTCAAGGCGAAGGAAACCACAGGCCAGGTTGGACTAACCAGATTATTATTATTATTATTATTATTAAAGATTTTATTTATTCATTTACTTGAGAGAGAGCACGGGAGAGAGAGCATGAGTGCGGGGCGGGGGGCAGGGAGCAGAGAGAGAGGGACAAGTAGACTCCCCGCCGAGCCTGGAGCCCTATGCAGGGGGCTCAATCCCACAACCCCGAGATCAAGACCTGAGCTGAAACCAAGAGTCGAACACTCAACTGACTGAGCCACTCTGGTGCCCTAGACCAACCAAATTCTATCTTGATCTGTCTGTCTGTCTCTCCAGCTGTCTTTCTTTCTGTCTCTGCATTTTGGAAGAGGAGATTCAGAATATGCAAAGAAGCCTGGGCTGACACCCAGTTCAGGCCTGGCAGGAATCCCTGGTCATGAAGAGGAGAATGGAGCCCCTGAGCCGAGATGAGGCCAGAGGTGGTGCCCTCTGGAGGAGCAGGGGACACTTGCCTTTCTGGCAACTTCTATTTCCCATCAGCTCTGAAGAGCTCCCCACCCATTCATTTATGCAACAGCGTGTCTGTCCCTGTTCTAGGCTTGGAGGAGACAGCTGTGAACCCAGGGCTCTTGGAGCCAACATCCCAGGAGGCTACCCTGGGGTCCTACAAGGCTCCCTACACTGTGAGTCAGTTGCAGAGAGCTTCTGTCCTTACAACCTGAGCCTTGGCTTGAATACATCCCGCTGCTCTGGCCTCCGAGGATGCCCCTCCTGTTCTTTTGCCTCAGTCATGCTGGCCTCCTGCCAGCTCAGTTCATGAGCCCTACAGCTTCCTGCCACAGGCCCTTTGCACAGACCAAGCCCTCTGTCCAAACACCTCCCAAAGCTCCTTTCCCTTCTACTTAGGACTGCTAGTCATCATTGAAGCTTTGTGGAAGGATCACCTTCCTAGGGCAACCTCCCTTATACTCCCCGATTTACACTCTCATCATCCCCGTATGTGCCTTTCCTTCACGGTCCCTGCACTGTGCATAATGATCTATTTTGTGTGTGTGATTATTAGTTAATATCAGTCTCCCCCGCTGGGCTGTGAGCCCTGGAAGGGCAGGGCCAGGGCAGCCTCAGTCTGCACTGCGTCCCCAGCACAGCCCGGTACAGTCTGGACGCAGAGGCGGCCTTGAGGAAGAGGCACTGGGGGAAGCTTTGCTGAAGGAACAAGTGAATGAGCAGCTCAGCATCTGCAGAGGCAGCTATGTGTCTCATTCAGGCAGTCCTGCATTCGAATCTCAACCCTGTCGCTGATTCGATGGCTGGATGCCTAATATTCGGGGCATGCCTTAAACCACCGAGCCTCAGCTTCTTTCTGGATAGAATGGAGATTCAGCCCACACTTAACCATGGCTGGGTTAAACTGGAGGAATCAGATCACTCCTCTGTTTAAAACCCTCTAGTGGCTTCTTTCAATCTCCCCACGGCCAACAAGCCTGGCCCCTGTGTGCCTCTCAGATCTCAACTCCTAACACCCAACTTGCTCACTGCTTTATAGCCATGGCATCCTTCTGTCTATATGCTTTGAACACACTAAGCTAGCCTTACCTCAGGGCCTTTGCACTTGCGGTTCCCTCTGCTAGGAACTCTGTCCCTCAGAAATCTTCAGGGCTCCCCTCCTTTCCTCTGTTCAAATGTCACTCCTTCTTGATGACCTCCCATCCCATATCACATCATCCTGTTTAATTTTTTTTTTTAAACTGGGGAAATTATAACCTCTCTGTGCCTCAGTTTCCTCATTTGTAAAATGAGTCCAATAATATTACCCACTTCACAGGGCAGCAGTGAGGAGTAAATGAGTTATACATACAGTAGGCATGTAATAAACACTAAATAATGTTAGCGATAACTATTATTGTTAATGTCTCTGAAATATGATCTTAATTTATTATTTACATGCTCGTTATTGGCGTCCCACATATGAATGAAGGCAAGGAGACTTTTTTTCCTTCTTTCTCTGCTTTGAGAGGAAGTTGTTAAGCTCCCAGACTCTGGTATTGTGACTTCGTGGGATCAAATCCCAGCCATACCACACTCTGTGCCTCAGTTTCCCCAACTGTAAAATGAAGACAATAATGGGGCTGCCTCATGGAGTTTTTGGTTTTGAAAGTTTTCATTCAGGGCCACCTGGGTGGCTCAGTCAGTTAAGCGTCTGCCTCTTGATTTCAGCTCAGGTCATGATCTCAGGGTCATGAGATCGAGCCCAAGTCAGTCTCCACGATCTGCTTGAGATTTTCTCTCTCCCTCTGGCCCCCCGACCAACTCTCTCTCTTCAAAAGAAAAGAGAAAGTTTTCATTTATTTCTTTATTCAACAAACATTAACTGAGAACCTACTGCGTGTCCCCCCCCATCGCCCCGTACTGTGGTAGATGCTGGATGATAAAAGGACAAGTATGTTTTCACTCTCTCACCTTGAAGAATTACTCTCCTAGTGAGACATGTTTGGAATGTGATGCATCAGAGCACATTATGAAAATCACAGAGGTAATGGGATGATCAGAGTCCTCTGGGGACATGGATGGTTAATGACCAAGTCTGCCCGGGAGGGTTGAGAAGTTATTTTATTCCCTCAGCTCTATTGAGATGTAAATGGCATATCACATTTCATAGGGTTTTAAAATTTAATTTAATTTTAAAGATTTTATTTATCTGAGAGAGAGAGAGAGAGTGTGTGTGCGCACAAGTGGGGGGAGGGGCAGAAGGAGAAGCAGGCTCCCCACTGAGCAGGGAGCCTGACACAGGACTCGATCCCAGGACCCCAAGATCATGACCTGAGCTGGTCAGACACTTAACCGACTGAGCCACCCAGGTGCCCCTAATTTAATTTTAAAGTTTGTTTATTTATTTATTTTTAAGTAAGCTCTGTACCCAGTGTGGGGTTCAAACTCAGGACCCAGAGACCAAGAGCTGCATGCTCTTCCGACTGAGCCAGCCAGGTGCCCCTCATACTTTTTGTTTGTTTGTTTGTTTTGTTTTTAAAGATACAAATGAGTTAATATAGGGCAGTGGTCCTGACCCATGGCAGGCATCGGGGTGCATGAGCCTACCCACTTTCTCCCTCAGCAGCATAACACTCACCGTCCACCTGGACCTCGGTCTTGGCCCTCATGGTCCAGTCAGGATTGATGGTGACAGCTACCTGGTCGGTGCCGCTGTCTGTGGGCTGGATGCGACACAGCAGCATGGACCCACTGGGGAAGCCAACGATGTCACGTTGCCCCATGGCGCTGCCGTCCCTCTGGGGCCGCTGGAGGTCAGGGAAGTAGGTGAATAACATCGTGCCACCATTGGCCTCCTTCCCCAGGTACCAGTTGAAGTCCTGAAAGTTGCCTGGGATGCCCTGGACGGACAGGAGAAGGTTCTGGTCCTTTTGAGGATGCTCTGGAATCTTCTGGATGTGGAGGGCAGCCCAGGAGCTTTGGGGGATCCAGAGGGCCAGGAATGAGGCTGTGGGGAGTTACAGGGGTGGCCTGAGGTCAGAAGCATTGGGCAGGGACAAAAGCATTTTCTTCCCTATATGTCCTCATCTGGGGACAAGGACTCTGACCGCTGTTCATTGGAAACAGGGCTGGGATTGATGAGTGATGTCTGCACTGGGTTCAGGAGTGGGAACCCAGATAGGAAAGCCACACATTTCTCATCCCATTAGTCCAGCGGATCTCGGGGCAGCCGAGATGATGTGTGGTCTGCCTCTAAACAGTTGGACTCTCTGAATTTATTCATTCATCCATCTAACCAGGACTTACAGACTTACATATTATTTATGCGACAGTACCAATTATATATGATATATCTAAAATTCCCTAGATTTCTAGGCCCTTGGGATATAACAGGGAAACAAATACAGATAAATTCCTGTCCTCATGATGGTCTGGCCTTGTACCAGGCAGCCCGACCCTGACCTCAGTAAATTCCCGGGAATAGTTTTCCTTGGGGTTTGAATTTGCAGTAATAGGTGTGAACATTGTAGCAGCAGTTTGATGATTATGTATGATATTGCAAATAAGACAAAAGAATAAAACACCCCTCCTCCAAAGAAACCCCACAAACAAACAACATTCTTATCTTCCTGGTCCTGATAGTCTAGAAAATTCCATAGGTAAAATTGGGTATGGGGCTGTGATTCTACAGCTCAAACCAGCACCCCCCCCATCTTACTCTAATAATTTCATCTTCCCTGGCAATCTTTCCCTTCTTCTGAGAGGAGACCTCAACCCCTGGGCTGAGTCCCACCTTCCCCCCTCAGCCCTGGGGTGCTCCCCCTTACCTGAGAGCAGGAGGCCCTTTGAGAAGTGGCACTGGGCCCTCTCGGGAATCTCCATCTTGGTGTCCCGTGGAGATGCCAAGGGGCCACTGTGGACACTGATGGGGCTGGAGGGCTGGGCCCTGGCTGTCGGAAGTAGGCCAGCTCAGTGGGGGTCTTGGGGGTGCCTTCTAGACATGGCCGAGGCCGGCCAAGCCCCAGCACCCCCTTTCCACAGGCTCCAGAGGCTTCACCTGTGCTCTCTGGGATGGGCGCAGACACCGGTTGAACCAGTTTTCCAGGGTGACTGGGGACCTTCCTGGGGCTTCCCTGGACTCCTCCCTTAATCCCCTCAACCTCTTCTTCCCACTCGTGTGACTGTCAGGAACAACAGCAGTAATCACAATGGGAGGGAGTCGTGGCAGTCTCTGCTTGAGCAATCCCCCTGGGCCAGGCAGGTCCCTGCAGAGAGGCCCAACACAACTGCTTCATCCAACATCCAACCACACATAACTGCGTCCATTTCACAGATGAGGAAACAGAGGCTCGAGGAAGGAGGCAAGTCTACCAGTAGGTGGAGATGGGACTTGACCTTTGGCTGGCTCACTCTAAAGCTCTTAGCACAGTTTTTCAAAAGCATCCACCATTCATTCATTCCAACAACACTCCCTGTGCTCAACGCTGTGCTGGGTGGTGCTGCAGACACAGTGGTGATTGAGATAGTTCTTGCTTTGTCCTCAGTCCACAGCGGGGCTCACAGTTCTGTGTCTGTATTGCAGGGAGCAGACCGATCCCCAGGGCAATGATCCACAGTGATCAGCAGTGGGATGGAGGAGCCCAGGGGGCCGGGAGAGCCCAAAGGGGTGCCTCATTCAGCCTGAGGGGCAGGGAAGCCTTCCTGGAGGAAGAGACATCTGAACAGAGACCTGGAGTGGGAGTAGCAATGAGACAGATGGTGGGGCGCAGGGGCGGGGGGTGAGGTTTGCCAAGCAACGTAAATAGCACATGCAAGGCTTGGAGGCTAAAAATCCTGGCTGAGGGGGCACTGAGTAGGAGGGGGTGAGGCTGGGGAAGAAGGAGGGATTAATTGGAATTTTGAGCTCTGTTGGGACAGGGTCTAGGTGATGGAGGGTTCAGGGTTGTGCTAATACTATAGACAGTCACCTAAGGTGACTGAAATAGACCCTTAAATTAATTAAAATTCAGCACCTTCAAAATTAGTTTCTCAAGGGGCGCCTGGGTGGCTCAGTTGGTTAAGCGACTGCCTTCGGCTCAGGTCACGATCCTGGGGTCCCGGGATCGAGTCCTGCATCGGGCTCCCTGCTCGGCAGGGAGT